CATGCATGCATGCATGGATGCACGCATGTATGTATGCATGTATACATAAGCACGAGCCTATCTCGGTATGCACACGCTTACATAGTAGTAGACAAGTCTATAAACGAATATGTATACGAGTCCGCACAAATATTCGTTCTCTATATGGCACATGCATGCACATGCATGCATCCATGTATGCGGGTGGCACAGGCATGTGTGTGTGTGTGTACAGATGTATGCCTGTTTGTATGTATGTATGTCTGTATGTCTGTATGTATGCATGTATGCATGCATGAATGTATGCATGCATGAATGCATGTATGCATGTATGCATGTATGCTAGCATGCATGCATGCCAGTAAGCATGTACGCGTGCATGTATGTATGTATGTATGTATGTATGTATGTATGTACGTATGTATGTATGTGTGTATGTCTGTATGTCTGTATGCATGTATGTATGTATGTATGTCTGTCTGTCTGTCTGTATGTATGTCTGTATGTACGTATGTCTGTATGTATGTATGTATGTATGTATGCATGTATGTCTGTATGTCTGCATGTCTGTATGTATGTACGTACGCATGTACGTATGTATGTATGTATGTATGTACGTATGTACGTATGTACGTATGTACGTAATGTAATGTAATGTAATGTAATGTAATGTAATGTAATGTAATGTAAGGTGCATGTATGCATGACCTTGGTACATGCGCTGGTTTGTGTGTATATATATATATGCATATACCTCTAACAGTCCTCTAATATGTGCCGTAAACAACTCAATAATTATGCTCATTCGGTGTACATACATGTATCTGTAGATGCATGCGGGCATACATACATACATACATACCTACATACATACATGCATAGGTCGTGTACGCTTGTCTGTACTGATGTGGTTCTATATATACAGAATATAGTCTATGTTACAGATAGATGGATAGATAGATAGATAGACACACGGATAGACGGTGTACATGCACATATACAGGTCTATGGCATGCAACATATGTGTGTATACATCCTGTATGCGTAAAGGATCTCACGCAAAGCGGTATCATCAGCTGTCCCCCTGTTCAAGCCAACACTTGCGCACCTGGCAGTGTCCAGAATGTGAAGGCCCGTGTGGTCGCGAACCAGCGCATCTGAGAGAGGCAACAGCTATTGGCAGGGTTCTGCATCACATCTACGGAGGCCTTCATCAGTGCAAATATGAACATGCACATGCCAGACCGAACTCAAAACGTGCTCACCAATCCGCCTTTGGGAGATGTCATGTGATCACGACCTCCAATGACCAGCATGCACGACGATTGCCTCGCAGCGCATGGAAAGTTTATACGAAGCTTTCTTTGGAGATGTCTAGACCCGCTCCACGCGCCATGTCCCTATAAGCGCCAAGCATCGAAGCATCAAATCTGAAGCCTTCGTAGGTCGTAGGTCCTGGCTGAGGCCCCTGCCGCGGTAGGGTCGTCGCGGCGTGCCCAAACCTGAGACCGGGCTAACTGTGCAAGCTGTGCAGATGAAGACAGCCTCTGAAGCCTTAACGCCCGAATCCCAAACCATGAACACGGTTTAGGGTTCAGGAACATCCCGAAACAAAACCAACTTGGTTTCTGCTTGACCCCACATGAACGGAGATATCCGAACCTTTAGAGAACCACCGCAAGTGACCTCCATCTCTATCAGGCTCCACCAGAGCCACCAGATTCAGGGTGGTACCTTTAAGGGCCCCGAGGACACTTCAAGAAGCCCCTCGCTCCAAAGCAGCGGGCGGTGCTCTGAATTAGAGCTCGGATTAATTAAAAGAGCTCAAAGTCGGGCTCAGAAGGGTCCCCTTTAAGGGGTCTCCCGAATACTACCTATAGTCTCCATTGTAGTTCCCTTTTGGGGTTATCTTTTGGGATCCTTAATATAAAATTGGTTAAACCAGAAAAAGGGAACTACAATGGAGACTATAGGTACCTCGGAAAGTTCGTAGTTTGGGGGCCCCAATCGAGGCAGTGCCCTCGCCTGGCAGCAGGGATGTTGCCCGAGGGGTTCTGCTTCGTCCATGTCCAGGACCTAAGAGCAAAGAGAAGGAGAGGAGAAGAGAGGTGTTAGGGTTGAGGCTTTAGGGTAGACAGAGAGGAGAAGAGAGGTGTTAGGCTTGAGGGTTTAGGGTTTAGGCGAAGGATGTGCGAGGGAGACAAGAAAGAGAAGCGAAGCCTACAGGGGCCTATAGTAACCTTCGAGTAAAGGGCAAGGACAGAGGTTCGGTTTCCAGGCCTCTACGCAACAGGAAAACAAATCGCGTCAGTACCCTCAGCCATGCAAACTCGGAAGTCGGTTCAGGCGCAGTCTCACAGGACATGTCACCCGAAATTCCTTACGATCTAGGTTCTAGATCTCCCGCGAAAGCTGATCCCTTTCGAAAGCCTCACGAGCCCAAGTATCAAAGAAATGCAGATCTGAGACTGCAACGTCACGTCCAGGACGACGGCATCGTTGTACACCCGGCCAATGCCCTGCTCAATGGTGAGCTCGATGCCCCCAAACACACAAAGGCAGCTATCGTCCTGGCAAGCTTTCTCGACAGGTTCATCAACAGTAGCATCTGTAGCAATAAACCCGGGATCCATTGTAGGTAGAGAAGGGTGAGAGCACGCGTATTTACATGAGTGTCAGCCAAGTATATGAAGAGATATGCATATGAAGGTTCACAATAACCATGCTTCCGCTTGCATGTGCGTCCGACGGTGATTCACGTTCGCGTTTTGAGTCGAAGTCTGATCGCGTATCGCTCATATCGTTTCAAGTCATGTGCCACCCACTATCCGTACTGTACCCCTCTCACGATTGCTGCTGTCAGACTCAGATGGGCTATCAGAAGCCAAATAGGTGTTCAGTGTCTTGGATGGTGTATTTGCCACTACTCATGGTGTCAGTATTGTCAGTATTGTGGCCGCTTCGGTTGTTCACCCAGGTCCGTTGCTGACTTAGATTCGTAGCGTTGCCCATGCCAGTCACATCATAGCTCTTATCGTGTGTGTTGCTCTTTTCCGGACTGTGATTGGTGCTGCTGGTGTCAGGGTTTCTTTTGCTCCCTGGCTGCCTTCCATAGTTTCGGCTGCCACTGCTGCAAGACCGTCATCCTCAACCCTAACCCCCAAACCGTTATTGGTAAATACAATCTTGTCTTGCTACGTTCACTGCAACTCCAATCTGCGTCCTCCAATACGATCACATCAGTGTTACGGTTTAGGGTTTAGGGTTGGGGTCGCTGCACCTGCTGCTGCTATTCCCCCTGTTGGTATAGTCAATCTTGTGCTTCTGCTTTGCTCTGCACGGCGGCCAGCCTGAAATATATTTGTGTTGCTGCTGCCTTCAAAGTCAACTTTCCTGGACTGTACTGAGCATTGTTCTAATTTCGGTGTGTGCGGTCCGCTTTTAGAGTTCTGATCATTCGCACAGTACAGCACGTGTTTATCTTTCTGCCGTCATTTAAGCTGTACTTGCCACCCCAGCTTGCCACTACCTCAAGCTAGAATGCTCTTGAGAGGGGCCTAGGTCGGAAAATCGCATCTTGACACTTTATCTACCAACAAACAACATCACCAAAAGCAAAACGAAGAAATCCGGGAACCTAAACCTGA